TGGAATGATTGGTGTGGTCTGCGTAAGGCCCTGCTCTTGCCTTAGTGTTCATTCATTTAGAATTCCTTTTTATCTCCACACAACTCATTCCCCAGTTCATATGTTTTATTTCTGTGTATTCTTAAAAACATTATAATTGTTTCATTCACACATAATATTGTGTTATAGCTTCATTTTTCATTTACTGATCAACTCTTGATATAAATATAATTATACTACTCATACTAAGGTGCTAAAGATAATATACTCATTTTTAATAAGCTGTAGAAACACTTAATTGCTTCATAAAATACCATCAGGACGTATGCTATGGTAATTACATTATTAGAGCTCTAAATTTAGCATTAAAACAATTTTTTCCAATAACACTTATAAATAACAAAGTGTCTTAATCAAATAGTCTTGCTACTGTACCTTCCAGGGAGCAGCTTAATAATAATATCTTTCATTTGTGTAGTTGCTGGGAATGTTCAAGCCACTTTCAGAAAAACCTGCCAACAAGCTATAAATTGGGCAAAGCAATTATTATTACCCCCATGTTACTCATAAAGCAGTTGAGATTACAGATCCATTTCTATAACTCATAATTTAAAATTAAGATTTGAGGATAAAAATCCATTAAAACAGAAACGTTTCAAAATGCCATCTCTCTAAAAGGCTTCTTAAAAATAATTGCTGTTGATGAATCTTATGCTGACAGTAAATTTTCTGCTTGTGTCTGTTCACCTGAGTGTTAAATACTCAACTAAGAGTAATGATGAGTTTAACGTAATGCAAAGAAAAAAAAAACCACATAGCAGATATTACACGAGCACCATCACTGACTTTGTTTTGTGATTGTTAAATTTGACCTATGCAAGTGCTAAAAATCAAAGTGGGGTGTTTTTTGGTAATGTCATTAATCCCTAAATTATTTAGAAAACATATTTAGAATGTTTGTAGTGTGAATAGGCCCCAAGCCACAGATTTCACTTCGCTGACCATTTTATTTACAAGTATTCAATTTTGATATAACAGTTGTAATGCCCTCAAAGACAAGAGAATCCACACCAAACTGAAGTGATTCTGTCTTTCAGTAAGAGGGAGCTTTTATACACACACACACACACATATAGAGGAATGCTATAAAGAAAATTATTTGTAATCTCACAAGTTCATTGTGTACATTAACTAGCTTAATTCTTACCAACATTGTTAGATAGATATTATTTTTCAACATTGAAAAGTAAGGTGATAGTTTCTGCCAAGGTCATGTGCCTGATGAGATAGAATTTAAAGGACTGTGACTTCCAAAACCTATGCCCTACACTACAACTTCATTCTCAACAGAATTGTGAAGATTTAATTATCTGCAGAATGGGTGAAGGCCATATGTTTCTACAAAGGATGCTATCCCTATTCTTGTGGAGGCTTCTTTGTTCCACCTTAAAAAAGCAAAGCAGGGATGGGTCTTTGTATCTGTCACATTTTTTTCATTTGTAGTTGTTATATGCTCACCTGTAAATTCATGTCTGCTCTGGAAACTCTCCAAACAAACTTTGAATATAATGGATAGAAGACTATAATACATATTTTAAGCCATGTATTACTGCAATATAGAAGGTTTACTGTACTATATAAAGTCATTTCAATAATATGCCCTGAATGTTATATCTGAGAAGTGCTGGTTTGAATCTTCCCCTCCCAAAGTTTATTATGTTTAATTTCTGTATTTAAAAAAAAAAATGGCTCATTTGGTTTGTACCCTATTGAGTTGGCTATAATTCTATATAAAATTTGCCAGCACCAGCCACATACATTGAGGTTGGCAGGTTTGAACCAAGGCTGATAGGTTTGAACCCAGCCCAGGCCAGCTAAATAACAATAACAACTGCAGCAAAAAATAGCTGGGTGTTGTGGTTTTTTTTATTGTATTCAAATTTTTATTTTTGAACAAAAATCTTAACGATTTTAAATAATGAAACATGGTATATTCTAGACACTGGTTTTCTTTTTCTTTTCTTTTCTTTTTTTAATTAAATTTGGACTTCTATAGTTCTGTTGTGATGCTTTCTTTAACATTTGTATTATTTCTTACTATTTTATATCACTCCAAACTTGCTAAACAAAAAATCACTCTGTTTAAGTGAGGCTTCACTTTAAGGAAATACTTAAATACTTAAATAAACCAACAAATCACAGTAGCCTGTAGTCCCAGCTACTTGGGAGGCTGAGGTAAGAGAATTGCTTAAGCCCAAGAGTTAGAAGAGGTCACTGTGAGCTGTGATGGCACAGCACTCTACCAAGGACAATATAGTGAAACTCTGTCTCAAAAAAAAACCCAGATATGAATAATGTAATTGCTCCAAAATTCAAATAAATTAATGTGATCCTACCTATATTGTATACATATTCAAACATTTGAGTCACAAATAATCAAACAATCACAAATAATGTTTGATTTTGTGTTTAGATCTCTGAAGTTGTAAAGACTGTGTTCCTGTTTATAAATTATTAGATTGTGTCTATTTACAATTTCTTGAATATTAATCGATCCCTTTAGTTATATAAAACAAAAACACACATTAAAAATTCTCTTTGCTACAATGATACCATAACCACATGATACCACATCAATCAGAAGTATATTTGCCAAAGTTTGTATTTTAAAATAAATTAAGAAAGAAATCATATTTGGTATATAAAGATTATAAGGCAATTCTGATCAGATAATGTTTCTTTGAAATATTTTTATTGTTATTTTATACTGTGGTTTAAAAATTTTTGTCAGGTGCAGACAAACTAGATTTTAATTTTTCAAACTGTATTTTGATTTTGAATCAAAATGCCTGGAGGAGTTGTTCCCAGGTTGGTTTTTAGCTGTATGTATTAGATATTAAACCCGAGTTAACACTTACAGGATGGATTCAGAGTCTGAGGGAAGAACCATCTCTGCCAACCATGCTGACAATAACCATAACATCAACAGCTTCAGTCACAATTACAGGAGCCACTTCCAGACAGGTGATGGGTGGATTACTTCCAGTAGTGTGTCAATCATTACTCTAACATTTAGTCCTAAGTCTTATACATGCAGACCTGAAAGCTTGCATCACAGAGTAACAGCTTACCAGTAAGACTTTGGGTTGTGAAGGGTGGAGCTATGATGTGCTGTTTTTACCCAGCTCAGCCTCTGGTGTTTAGATGAAAGGTTTCAAGTGGACATTCTCAATGTGTGGAGGGGGCATACATATATCACCTGAAATTGGCATAGTGATTGGTAATGCTTAAAAATTGACCTTGATGTAGTGACACTTTAGTTGCACAAGAGTAAAATGATAAAGTATCTTGGAATTGGCATTAGCTAGCACTAGTCAGCGGTTCTCAACCGTAGGCTGCAACCTGTAGGAACTGTATTAAAGGACCACGGCATTAGGAAGGTTGAGAATCACTGCACTAAATGAACTATTAGCAGGATTGCCATTTACATCAAAATGGACCAGATTCACTAAGGGACTTTCTATGGTTTTATTTCCATTTATTTATACCAAGGGAGGCCCACCAGTGGTCTGGGGACTAAAGCAGACTGATCTTTATTTATTTTGATTTGCTGTTAAGTCTGACACATTCTTTAATAAAGTGAAAATAATTAGGTAGGTGATGTTCTCGATTCTTAGTTGAGCTAACTGATCTGCTGCCCCATACATTTAGGTTAACTGCAGGCCCCAGGTACGTGAGGAGATAACCGTTCCAGGGCAAGAGAATATCAAAAAGTATACTCTTTTACTCCCTAATTTCATTATTTTGAAATAAAGTGTCTCTCTCTTTGGCTTTCTCAGTAATGCAGCTTTAGTTGTGTGATCAACAGGAAGAAGTCTGGTTTAAATCTTCACCCGTTTGGAGGTTGTTGCTCGTGAACTCATCATCCCACCCCTGTACTTTTTCTTTCATGTAAAATCCATAGATGACTTTGGGAAACTCTAGCCAAAGGAGTTTTGCAAAGTTAGACAGCAAAAGAACTGTGTAAGGAACTGACTGTCTGGGTGTTTAATTTTAATTTTTCTAAGTTTTCACTTCCTGGTGAATTTCTACCTTATGCATTGAACAAGTCATTGGCAGATAATCAAACATAAATTGATATATATGGGAGCACCAATGTTTTCTTTCTTTCCACATGTGCTATAGTCTGTATTCCTAAAAAAAAATCTGAAAACAGAGGCAAACTATTTAAAGGAGGTTTGCTGCTCTCACTCATCCTTCTGATGTTCAGGCTGTGAGACTGAGCCAAAGCATTGTCTCTGCTCTGGAGCAGATAATGGCCATGTGTTCCTCTCAGCCAGGAAGCTGGCTGCAGGGACTTCAGGTATTGGGCACAGCAGTGAACAAGACCCACCTGCAGCTATGTTCTCTGTGAAGTGGACTCAGCGTCATGATATAGAGTGACCACTGCAACTAAAATACGAGCCAGATGTAATAGTGCCCTCAACATAGGCTTGCTATCCTACCTCCAGAGAGTCCTTTCTTCTCCCTACTGTAGTTTCTCATTTATAAATTAAGGATGTGGGGCTGGGATTATGTCTAGGTCCCTTCTAGTTCTCTATTGCAGATTCCAGGATTCTCATTGCACTTCCTTTGCACATTACCCTTGTGCTTGATTGCCCTGCTGGCTGGTGGTGTGATTTCATGTGAACATCTCCATGACTTGAAGAGGAGAGGGATATTTGTGTATGAATACCCCAGAAAAGCAAACTTCTTGGAGGTCAACAAATTTATAGACATTTTAATGGTACTGATGAAATTTAAACTGTCCCATAAATAAAGAAAACCTAGCCTATGGTGACTGATCCAGAGGCTGAAGAGAGGCCCTCACATCCTTGTTAAACATTAGCAGTGTTCCTTTTAAGAAGACAGGTTTTTGCACTTTGACAAAGTGAACATACATTGCTCCTTGACATCCAAGCTAATGATGTGAAGATCATATTGTGCAGACACATTGACCCTTTTCTCTATTTTTCTCCCAGGGATTTCCAGGAAACACAAATGCAGACAGCGTGGTACACTACAGACTTCAGCCTCCCTTTGAAGCCAGGTTCCTGCGCTTCCTCCCATTAGCCTGGAACCCCAAGGGCAGGATTGGGATGCGGATGGAAGTGTACGGATGTGCATACAGTAAGTGGTGCTTACTCCCCCTGGGAAATCAGTGTCAGCCTGAGATGTTGTAAAAGCCAAACTGTGAAAGCAAATGCTGGCAAGAGATGTTGAACTTGACTTTTTCTGTTTGGGAATTTTTTTTTTTTTTTTTTTTTTTTTTGAGAAAGAGTTTCCTCCTGTCACCCTGGGTAGAGTGCCATGGCATCATCATAGTTCATAGAAATCTCAAACTCTTAGGCTCAAGCTATCCCCTTATCTCAGCCTCACCAGTAACTGGGACTACAGATATGCACTACCATGCCCAGCTAGTTTTTCTATTTTAGTAGGGACCAGGGTCTCACTCTCAGGCTGATCTTGAGCTACTGAGCTCAAGCAATTCACCTGCCTCAGCCTCCCAGAGTGCTAGGATTACAGGTATGAGCCACTGCACCCCACCTTTTTCTGCCTTTTTAAATAGCTATAAAAATAGAACTGACTTTAATGGGAAGATTTTTGCATCTACCAGTGAGAACATGGACTTGTGTTTTATAGCTGAATTTAGAGAAGGACCAGAACTGAAACATACGCATCTTTAGATTCCCAGGATTTGGCAAAGTACTTGCAACATGGTAGGTATCTCACAAACCCAGTACAATTCAAACTAACAATGGGTGATGCTATTTTTCTGAAGCTGAGATAATGCTCAGTACGGGAACACAGTAGTGCGTTTGGGGGCCAATTTCTCATGATGACTCAGTTCTCTTTGTTTTTCTCTACTAACACTATCATGAAACCTACAATACAGTCTCCTGCAGTTTCACTTCACCTTCACCTTCATGTGGAGGGAACATAACTGGCCTGACAATTAAGTTCAAGATCTCGTCCTAGGAAAAGTGCTACATACATCTTTGCTGAATATCACTACAGTCACCTTTGAATTACTCCCCTGGATTATCTAGTGACTCTAGTGATATTTAGCAATAAGGTATATAGCACTTTTTCTAGGGTTAGTTTATGAACTTAATTGTCAGACCTCATATGGCAATAGCTCCAATGGCTATCCCAGAAAAAGAGTTCTAAAATTGCTTTGAAGGGTGGACTAGGTGCTGGCAACAGTGCACAGTTTTCCAAGGGGAGTAACTCAGAGGTGACCATAGTGATATTCAGCAATGAGATATACAGCACTTATTCTAGAATGAGTTCATGAACTTAACCGTCCAACTTCATATGTGTATTAAGTCAGCTTCTCAGCTCATCTATTAGCTGTAATAAAAGTAGAAAGAATGTAGCCAACTTGAATATAACACAAACACAAAAATCAGGCAGTGAAAGCATATGGCGGCTCATACAGTTGTCATCTAATGACTCAGAACATACTTGTATTAGTTCTTTACGCTATTATCAAAACTTTTTAAATTGTTACCTAAATGGAACAACATTTAAAATAGTTCTGTGCAGAACTAAAGAATAATTCAGACAGTAGACTGGATGGAAAGGTCATAAGTGGCTTAGATTTGGGTCAGGTTGAACTTTCATCTCATGCCATTTATACACAATCACCCCTATTCTCTGGTTGGTCACAACTTTAGCTATGCAGAATATTAATTTTCCAAAGTATAATCATAATATCTACCATCTAGGCAACTTTTAATGTCTCAGATACTGTTGTTCCCATTTTATTCCTTAACCCCTGCACAACCCTACTGATTCCCTAACTCTGCCTCTGTTTTCTGGTGTTTGCATTTCTATGGGGCTAAATATAATGGTGCTGCTTTACCATCAAACCTTTGTTTTTCCTTTCATTGTTAATTTCCTCCCATCACTGTGTTCTCTGAGATCTGTAGCGCTGCTCTCTATTTCAGCGGCTGAGATGTCTGATATGTAGAATTACTCTTTGATGCTATGAAATTAGCTTCTCCTCTCATTACTCGGAAACAACTTCAGGTTTGCTGACTTCAAAGCAGAACATGCTCTTTGATGGCGATTTGCCATTAGCTTGATGTTCCTTCACAAGGAGCTATTACTCCAGATCCTTGGGCTAGAGGTTGGTACCCAGAAGATCAAAGCTCTGTGCCTGATCCTGGGAAGGGCCAGTGGGTAGTGCAGCTGTCGTGGAATCTGCTGGCACCATGAAATGCTGCAAACATATGCTACTGGGCATAAGGGACTACTGGGGAAAAAAGTATTAATTTATTAAAAAGAAAGAAAAACCCATCATGCAGACAGATAATATAGCACCACTATTAGCTGACTCAAAGTAATCCTTTAGAAAGAATGGATCTCTTCATTGTCTTTTTATCCTTAGAAGAAAAATTGTTCAAGTACAGCGATTTTATTTTTATTGTTGACAATAATACAGGGAATCCATAAAGTCTGTGTGTAATTTGCTGTGTTAAACTATTTTAAATTGCACACAAACTTTATGTCCATGTTGTATAATGCTTTGTGGTTTATATTAATAATGCAGGTTTTGGTATTTTTGTTCTTATTTCCCCTGGCCTTTTGTATTCTAGAAGTTTGTTTATCGTGGCACATGGTGTCACCTACAGGCAGCATCTCTTCCGGGTTTTATCTACTTTTCTATCCTCCATTTACTATGATATACTCATTATTCCTTTAAACACTGTGTGTTTCCACAGATTCTTGGCTTAGCCTATGTGTTTTCTTTACTTCCACTTCTGGGCTGGGGCGGAGGGCGAGGGGTGAGCGGTGCTCCTAGAGGTCCTGCTCTCCTGCACATCAAAGCCAAGGGCCAGGATGGCCACAAGGCCCTTCTTGTCACCACCATATTCTCCTGTTTTCCAAGCATCTTTACACATTCTTCTTTTCTTGCCATGTCTAAAGGTTGACATTATTCACAGATTAGTTCTAGGTCTTTTATCCTATTCTCAAGCTCTCTCTGAGCCTTTATCCATACCCACAGTTTTCAAAAGCATTTACATACTGGACAATAACTTCCAAAGCTGTACATTCATCCCAGATCTAAGGAACTTTAACTTCTGGTACTCTCCTTCTTGGGTCACCTCTCCCCACTGGATCTGTGAGCACTTAAAGCTTGATGATCTAAAATGGGATTATTATCCTTTTTTTCTCTTCTAAGAGATATCTGCTCATTTTCTTTTGTGTTCTATCTCATAAAGTGATACCAAGAGCCACCTATTAACTCAAACCTGATTCCACCTTCTAAGTAGGTTTTCAATCTTCTACCTTTCCACTTCTAGGTTAACTTAAATGAAGCATTAGACTCCCAAACAAGCTACTCATCTCTAGTGACCTCTCCAGCCTTTATTCCATACTATAATCAGATTAATTCCTGATGCAATTCAAGTTCAATTCCAAACATGTTTGAAGACACAATAGAGACACTAGGTTTGTTGCCCACAACCCTCAGACTGAACAATAAATACCTTGTGCTCTAACGCCTGTCTAGGCCTTCAATGGCATCTATCAAGAGTACTAAGGGAAACACCCAGGCTCTTATACCAGACCCTCAGTCCGTGCATGTCTCATCTGTCCCTCTTGCCCTTTGTGTCCATTGAATCTCCAGGTTCTGTACTTGACCCGCAAATTATACTCTGCATGATTTCAATTCTCTCTTGCTCCACACACCAACTTAATCTAACCCTGGGGTCACCCAGATTCCTAAAATTGCTTTCCAATTTGGAGTCATTCTGTCTCTACTCATAGCTGACTATATTATATTCTCCACAACACAGTTCAAGTTACTTTTTGAAAATGCAGATCTCATAGAATTATGTCCCTGTTTAATATAATCTGATGCTCCTAAATTAACATTCAAATTCTCAGCAAGGCCAGAGTGACTTTGTCCCTGAATAATTCTACAATCACTCCTCTTGCCACCATCCCTCACATCACCTGCTACTGTCCACTGTTGATTGCACCAAGCTTTCTATGGTCTCAGAGCCTCTGCTCCTGTGGTTCCCCTACTTGAAATGCTCCTTCCCTGTGTTTGCAACTGGCTATTGGCTTCTCATCTTTCAGGTCTTAGTTTAAATGGCACTTCCCATACCTTCAGTCTAAATTTGATTCCTCATTATAAATTCTCATGGGGGGGGGTCTATGGTCCAACTTCATGTGCTCTAGTCATTTTTGATAAATGACTATTTCCATACTTCCTTTGGATATTTGATGTAACTTTGTATTGTAGGAAAGATCGTTATTGATATGCAAATGTTCCAAATAAGCAATCTGGGAAGCCACATTTAAGAGGCTTTGGTATAAGAACTACAAATAATTGTCAGAGACAAGGAGAGTACTCATGTCCTCTGACTACCAATTACATGCCCCTAATGGGTAATAACTACAAAAGTTTCATAAAGGTAATTATATGGATACTTGTTTTGATATCTTAATATATTGATGATGGCAATGACCTCTTTTCTACTTTCAGAGAGATAGTTTCAAACCACGACAGTGAAACATTTAGTCTTTGATTCTGTCTTCCTCTTTTTTATGGTGACAACTTTAATTTTTGTCAATTTCATAGTTCTTTACATTCTTTTATATTAATGCAAAATATAGAATGGTCCTTTTCCTATTGTTTTCTCACATGCTTAATAACCTTCCATCTTTTAAATTCCTAACCCAGTAATTCAGATTTTAAGGGCCTACGTTCCATTCTCTAACTTGCTTTTGTCCGATTCCAGTTTATGTTAAGTTAAGATTTAGCTTCTATTCATTTGTAACTTGTGGGCAATAATTCATAAAGAATAAAAGAGAAAGGTTAGTGTTCAAGGTTGACTTCATAAATAACAAAAAAGAGCTGGGTTCACAACTTTTCTCTTTTTTACTGGTTGAAAGCTTGTTGGGGGTGGGATTCTGAGGGGGGAAGACTCTTTTCTTTAAACTTTAATATTTACAGGATGGCTCAGATAATTAGTACACTTCCAATGTGTCCTTCTCGTGAAGAACTCTTTTATAATGTCCCAAATGAAAATAATTTTTATTATGTATGTTTCATGTTCTATTCATCTGTTCTGCTACATTTTCTTATAATTTGGTCTTCAGATATGGCATAT